GTCATTGTTGTTTGGCGGGTCCGGGCTGGGGATTCGAACCCGTCACCTTAGGTGTACGTGGCTGGCGCCTTAGCCGGTTGAGCTATAGGCGCCGAGCCTTGTTTTGTTTTGTTTTTGTTTTTTTGAGACACAGTCTCATTATGTTGCCCTTAGTAGAGTGCTGTGGCATCACAGCTCACAACAACCTCAAACTCTTGGGCTCAAACGATTCTCTTGCCTTAGCCTCCCAAGTAGCTGGGACTACAGGTGCCTGCCATAATACCTGGCTATTTTTAGAGATGAGGTTCACTCTTGCTCAGGTTTCACTCTTGGTCTCAAACTCCTGAGCTCATGCAATTCACCCGCCTTGGCCTCTCAGAGTACTAGGATTATAGGCGTGAGCCACCACACCTGGCCTTAAGTAGCTGTAATTTAGTATACTATTGGATTCTACTCTTGTTTAACCATTTTTTAGTTGTTATAACTTGTATCTACAAGTGCAAGTCGGGTTACTGTTAACTTAATTTCAATAAATAATAGATTCTTCTCTCCATTATAGCCCCATTCACTTTCCACTTTGTGCTGTTTTTGTCATATCAAATAGATCTTATGTATGTTGATCACCCAAGGGACCGTAAGAAACTGGCCAACATACAGAGGTGGTCAACATAAGAAACTGAGCCTAATGCACTGATACATACATGTGGTGCATGTCCAGTCTGTGAAAATTAGGTCAGCTTGAGGAGGTGATCAACTACGGAGGTTCTACTATATATTATGTGTTCTAAACTCAACAATGTAGTGTTGTATTATTAATTATTAAAGATATTTTATCTTATATCTTTAAGGAAGTTAAGAGAAGAAATAAGAAAGCATAAGTCTTGCCTTGGCATGGTAGCACATGCCTATAATCCTAGCACTACAGGAAGCCAAGGCAGGAGACTCCCTTGAGCTCAAGATTTCAAGACCAGCCTGAGTAAAATGAGACACCATCTCTACTGAAAATAGAAAAATTAGCCAGGTGTCATGGTGGATGCTTGTAGTCCCAGCTTGAGCCCAGTAGTTTGAGGTTGCAACATGTAAGCTAGGCTGAGGCTATGGTACTCAGCCAGGGTGACAGAGTAAGACTATCTCAAAAAAAAAAAAAAAAACTGGGTAGATTGCTTGAGCTCATGGGTTCAAGACCAGCCTGAGCAAGAGTAAGACCTGGTCTTTAAAAAACTAGCTGGGGCTCAGCGCCTTTAGCTCAGCAGCTAGGGCGCCAGCCACATACACCTGAGTTGGCAGGTTTGAATCCAGCCCGGGCCTGTCGAACAGCAATGACAACTGCAACCAAAAAATAGCTGTGGCATTGTGGTGGGCACCTGTAGTCCCAGGTATTTGGGAGGCTGAGGCAAGAGAATTGCTTAAGCCTAAGAGTTTGAGGTTGCTGTAAGCTATGACACCATGGCATTCTGCCGAGGGCGACATAATAGAACTCTGTCTCAAATAAATAAATAAAATAATAAACTAGCTGGGGGTGGAGGGGGTGGCAGGTGAGGTGGCTCATGCTTATAATCCTAGCACTTGGGAGGCTGAGGTGGGTGGATTGCCTGAGCTCACAGGTTCGAGACCAACCTGAGCCAGAGTGAGACCTCATCT